ACCCCAGTGATGGTTAAGTTTAGGGATGGGGTTGAGGTAAGTCATATCTTTTTTTTACCTAGGATGGTAAGGGAACAGTCATAAATGCCATTAACCCCAGTGACGGTTAGGTTTAGGGACGGGGTTGAGGTAAGTCATATATTTATATAACGTTAAGTCAACGGCGTTCATAAGCACGCTGAAAGGCGATTATGCGTCTTGATAGCACGCCAAAAATGGAAATACGAATTGGCGTGTCATACACACGCTACTTCATGAGATCAGTCTGGCCTGTCAATGTATTTCATACCTCCGCTCCGCAAACCCTGCTCACGCAGATATCACACATCATCAGCACGTTTCATGCTATGCAGAGTTAGACAGACGTCAGTCACAGAACGCCCCAAACAAAACAGCAGCCACCTTTTACAGTTCCTTCTGAATCAAAACAAAGCTTATTCTGCGTTCAACTTCACGCCATGGCAACTGTAATTTGAAAGAGATGAAAATCTGTGACGTTATACTCAGAGCAGTTTGTGACTCGAATTTTTGTGTTTTTATGGCAACACCCCAATGGCACTATACTTTGGGACTCGGGCGCACAATTAAAGCGGCTATGTGTAGGTTTTTACTTAAAAAAATCTTTAAGGTAGAGTCTTCATTTGTACATTTATGAACCAACCGTAATGTAATAGAAAGAATGACACCTTGACTGTCCACCATGGTCAGCCTATCAGCCTGTAGGCTCAATTGTGTGTGGAGAAGTCGGGTCTGAATTGGTGTGAAAATTCACAAAATGTGACATCATGAGCGTTCTCGTCTACTCTGGCTTACATATGTACGGCAGCCATTAGTAAGCAGGTAATCGCCAGCAGTAGTGTTTCAAATGGACTCTGCAGACGGAAAGAAACGGCCAGCCTCCAGTCAATCCAGACACTCACGGAAACATCTAGTGCAGCCAATGAGCATTGACGCACCGAGAATGAGCATGAGACTGGCTGCAGTCTCATCCAAGGCTGCAGTTTCTCTAACGGCCACTGGTGTCAGTAATGGTAAGAAATTTCAGAATTTCTGCAATGTTCCTTTAAACTGACAAATAAATGCAAAAATGTGTCAAAATGTCCGTCTTGGGGACTTTTTAAATATGTCTTCAGTTAACCCAAACAGCTGGGAAAGAAATCAAATGCTTGTCAGTGTTCAGTGTATTAGGTCTGTGCATTTGGTCTTAAAGTGACAGCAGCCTAATAAACCCACTGCTCTCTCTGTCATTTAATGTTAATCAAACAAAAGAAAATGAAAGAATCATCCAATGCTCTGCACTGAATAACATTAGTAACTTTAATAAGAATCAATTTAATTCATAAAGTTAAGACTATGCAGTTTTGTTAATTTAATTTTTATTAATTTATTAAATAAATATTAGTTTATTTAATGTCTGTATAGTAGTCTTTTATTAGTAGCAGGCTAAATTGATATATATATATATAAATTGATATATATATATATATATATATATATAATATGTCCATATGAATATTCATATATTCATATATATATATATATATATATATATATGAAGAGTTCAGATGCAAAAGCCTCTAAGTGCCATTTAAAATTTTCTTCTAGAAGGATCATTTTTATCAAGCTTGTATATTTAAGTTCAGTGATTTCACTTAAATGGCAAGGATAATTACCTATTAATTGTTATTTAAGTGAAATTACTGAACTTAAATATACAAGTTTGACAAAAATCATCATTAAAGAAGAAAATTTCAAATGGCATTTAGAGGCTTTTGCATCTGAACTCTTCATATATATATATATATATATGAATATTCATATGGACATATATATATATATATATATATATATATATATATATGGGTCAGTGACGTGCCGCACTGATTTGCACTTCCAGGAGCAATAAATATTATATAATAATATAAAATAGGTTTAAAATTATATACATGTTTTAATCTCACATCATCTGTCCTCCTCACTGTTCTTAATTGTGTGAAATTTCAAAAATAGGTAATTTTTAGACTATTAATGTGGTCAAATGTCATACGGACAAACGGAATTCACTTAAAGTTATTTAAGACAATTGTATTTAAAATTATTAAAAATGTTTAAAAATGATACAATTTTTCATTTGGCATATTTTTTCAAGTCTTAAGATAAGCATATTAAAGTATCAGTAAGATAGTCCTTTCAGAAATGTTATTTGTATCTAAAACAAATTGTTCCGCAAAAACACATTTTCCCTATGTCATACGGTAAAACAAAGTTTAGAAGCCATTTTGGAACTGGATATTAATGACTTAAGTCATGTGAAATTTGATGACATTACTCAGAGGACCCCTGAAGACCAGCCAAGTTGAAGGCAAGTTTAAGATTTTGCTCCTACATTTGGGGTAATTTCACCTTTTCCAAGTGAGTTACATGTGTCACAGATTTGGGTGTCATATGGTCAAACGTCAAAAAAGGGTTTAAAACATTTAAAATTTGAAAAAATATTTATTTACAGGTGAAATATAAAGTTTAAAAGTCAAGGTAAAGGGTAAAGATGGAAGGAGGTGGCCAATCAACTGCCTGTTATAAATGACACAGCACAAAATTGTCATAAGGGCAAACAAAAAATGTCATACAGACAAACGATTTTACCGTATGACATGTTGTTATACCATATGACACAGAGCATTTAACTGTTATTTCTTAATAGTTATATAACATATATAGTTTGTACGACTACTAAGAATTAATATTAACATATATAATATATTTCTGCCTATTTTAAGCATTTTTTCACATTATTACAGATGCCTCTTTCTAGTAAGGAGAGGGGTGCATGTTTCCGTGCAAAGCTAAGGGCAGATCCTGCAGCTAGAGAGGAGAACCTAGCCAAGAGGAGGGAAAGGGTATTTGATGTGAGAGTATATGATGCCAGTAATGTTAGGATGTGCCAGTTTAGTCAGTATAGGCAGTATCTTATCTACTGGCCTGAGTTGAAGTCAGCATCACAATGTTTCTGGAAAGTGGCTTTATATACAGTAGGGCCAAAAAGTATTTAGTCAGCCACTGATTGTGCAAGTTCTCCAACTTAGAATGTTGAGAGAGGTCTGTAATTTTCATCATAGGAACACTTCAAATATGAGAGACAAAGTAAACACTGTAAACACCAGCTACAGTGTGTGCAAACCTGGTGAAGACTTACAGGAAACGTTTGACCTCTGTCATTGCCAACAAAGGTTATGTTACAAAGTATTGAGTTGAACTTTTGTTATTGACCAAATACTTATTTTCCACCATAATTTACAAATAAATTCTTTAAAAATCCTAGAATGTGATTTCCTGGATTTTTTTTTTTTCGCATTTTGTCTCTCATAGTTGAAGTGTACCTATGACGAAAATTACAGACCTCTCTCATCATTCTAACTAGGAGAACTTGCACAACCAGTGGCTGACTAAATACTTTTTGGCCCCACTGTAGATACATTATTCACGTGTGTGTGTGTGTATCTCACTGTTGTAAATCTAACTGATATTGTCATGTTTTACATATAGCACGTCCTTGTGTTCCTTGTACTGAAAGAGAGTTGAGTTGACTAAAAGAAATGTTCGTGTGTTGGGAAATATATTCTACTGTTAAAAAAGGTTCACTTGAGATGCCTGTTTCTTTGAAATCATTTTGAATTGGCCTACATCAATTTATTACATTAAAAATGCAATGAAACATTGAAATTGTACTATGTCATACGGTAAAACAAAATATGTCATATGGTAAAACATTGAATTTTAAAAGAAATAAAAATAGATACTCTGTTTGTTTACAAGGTTCATGAAAATAATGGAGGAGAGCTAGTATGATATACACATATATATAACTTCAAGGCATTTTTGACTAATTTCTTGCAAAAAAATAGAACAAATGTCCATAGATGACATGCTGTGGTTGTTAAAAAACAAATTATCTAGTATTTGTGGTGTAGGTGGTTATATTTTGCAACTTGTTATATAATACTTACAGATCAACTATTACATTCATGGTTGTTTTTAACTGTGTCATGAATATTAAATTTAATTTATTCCTAAAAATCACTTCGTTTTACCGTATGACATTTTCAAGGACTGTATACAAAGAAACACATTAAAATGTCATATATTGTTATTTTTTATAAAGGGCACTAATAAAAACAAAAAATATACACATAGATGTACACAAAAAATGCTATATTTACTTTGTCCTTTAATTTTTATTTTTTTACTGTTTTGAAATTCTAAAACGTCACTGACCCATATATATATATATATATATTGTATATATATATATATATTACTGAAGGTTTCAACCTCCTGTTGTTGGTTGACACAGTGAAACAACTCTGACAGAACAGATAAAGGGGTTGAGGGTCATTTCTGGGTTTTTATGTGGGTTTTACATCTTACCCAAACCTACCCTAAATGTTTGCATAATCTAATATTCCTTATTGACTAGTGTTGGATACTTAAAAATTCATAATCATTCATAATTATGTCAGACTTAAGTAACCGATTTAATACCTAAATATTATTATGGCCATTGTTGTTGTTGTGGCTGTACACTAGTGGGTGTGTGTGTCGTAAGAGCGTGAGAACAGTGTCAATTGGCAGCCCTGACCATGACGCACTTTTAAATCACTAATAAATTACTGTCCTATACTGCCCTAAAGCATATTTGTGCTGGTCCTGGAGTTAAAACGTGTTCATTGCAAAGAATTGGACTGTCATACCTTCCATATAGAAACCATCAGATGTCCATATTCACATATTCATTAGGGCACTCACAGCACTGACACATCCAGACAGCGAGCATACAGCTGTCTCTTAATGGACACTACACTGATTTACTATAACAACTCATAAGCACCGGGTGTGTGAAGGGCTGACAGACTGACATTGCGAGTCATTGAGCAGATTTCGGGACGGAAAAAGGACCATTACCCAGCGACAAGATGCAAATAACTCTTTAAACAGCGTTTTACCTCCTCTGGAAGTCCTTTTCAAATGGTTTGAGGTAAGGGTCCATTTCCAGAAGAGACTTCAAATGAAGAATTGTAACATTATCCTCTGAATCTGCCATGTTCGCGCCAGACCAGAGCAATCGAGCAGCGAGTCCTTCGTTTATTTAAAGACAGAGCGCGAGGCTGCTCCTTTCACTATGGAGCAATAAGTAGCGGTTTGTGTTGCACTGTCATTTGAGACACGGGTCATGTTTTTATGCCCTGCCCATATCACAACGAAAGGATGTGGCAATTCCTGCGCTCACTTTTCATGTGTGTTCTTAAATGACTGCGTGGTGCTTTAACGGATCCACGGAAGCGTTCAGACAGTGGAGGATTTTGGGGGAGGAGGGTAATCGAACTTTTTTGCCCTTGACAAAGTTCAACCTCCTTGCTTTATTTATGGCTTATGGACGGACCTCCTTCTGTACATCACTGTTATTGTAAATGTAAATGAATTAGATAGGCTAAGAATGAAAAAAAAAGGTAGTGTGCATGAATATCCTGGTGTGATGTTGATATCCTCCTACAGTATGGCCTACCATACTCCATCTAAAGCTATTTAAATTTTTTTTTATAATAATATCATTATTTAAATAACATATTGCATATAATGGGTTTATACGAAGATTTTTTTTTTAAGTTCACTTAAATACAAATTTTATTTGTTTAAACCTGACAGTAAAAATACAAATATACTGTAATGGTATACTCACAAAATATACTCATTTTGTCCCCAGAAATTGAGAAAAAAATGTTAAATATTGATTTGATAGAGTAGAGGGATAAGTATTAGTATGTGACACTAGCCTTCATAGTTAATCCGATTAAACAAATATTTAAAATATACTGTTCTTTGTTTCTTAATTTGGAGATTCAATGTGAAATGATGAATTACAATATAAAAACATATTACACAGACACACACACACACACACACACATATATATATATATATATATATATATATATATATATATATATATATATATATATATATATATATATAAAATATTAAATATTAGTTAAAAAGGTGACTTGAAATGGTGTGTTTCAATGGTCTAGTTTTGGAACCACTGCATTTTATATAATAAAAATGTATTTATTTTAACTATAGGGCCTATCATTTACAAAGGTTTTTATATTATTAATAGATGTGTCCATGTGTTAAGGTATAGTATGTTTAGTTTTTTTATATAAAAGTAGAGTTTGACTTAGAAGCTTTATAACACGGGCAAGCAACCCTTTCATGGGGCCAGGTATTCATTCATTATTGATCTTTTTATCCTTCAGCATACTGAATAATGTGCAATATGTGAACGCCACCATATTGTTTGGTAAGTTTCAAGGTGAGATATAAAGATGAAGTGCGGGTATATTTGTAAAATTCACAGAGCGAAAAAAAGCAAAAAAGCAAATATAAAGCGTTTTTGCACCGATTTTAATGTAATTTTATCAACCACAAACCACAAAATGATTTGCTTTGTGTTGTTCTGCCCTTGAATCGATGTGTTATACAGTCTGCAAGACTTCTGCCTGTTTACATTTGGCAGGTTACTATTCTGTGAACCTGCTTGTGCTCATAAAAACTCAGATCAGAGGTTTTTGAAAAGCCAGAAATGAAAGTACACATAACAAATTAGACCTATTGAATATCATAAAAGTTTTAGATTGGGGGGGGGGGGAGAGATGGGGGGGGGGTGTTAAGAGAAAGATGGCATGGAAGTAAAACATTAAATCAAGACTTCACGTGGCTGCTGTTCATCTCATATCTGCTCATATTTGATAATATTGAAACACTTTTCAAAGCCTGGACTCTCGGAGAGCAGTTCTCTTTTAACTGTGGTTGCATCACATTTGATTTTGAAACAGTCCAGTATGATCAAATGCAGAAAAGTGTGTGGAGTTAAAACAGTATTCGACTCTCAGTGAGTGTGACTAACATCACAGAAGCTTTATTCCGTTTTCATTTGGTTTTAATCAATTTTCTTATGTTTAATCACATAATAGAATGAAATATAACTGTCTTTGAAAACATGTTAATCCAGTTTACAGCATGTTTTTTTTTTTAAATGATTATTTTTGGTGTAGAGGTGACATTCAGTGCAATGACATTCAAGCCACATGCAGATTCTTCTTTATATCTTGAATAAAAATGTCATATACTAATCATATTTCAATTTTATTGGCATCAGAGGTAATTTAAACCTGAAGTGTATCACAATGATTATATTCATGAAAATGGAGAATGAAAGTCAAGGTTGATATTACGAAAGAACAATATGTTTCTGCGAGTCAACGATTCTGAATTGATGAGACTCTTTTTCAGCATGTGGAGGTTTAGATGAAAGTCAAGGCTGCAGAATATGTTATAAATTTTGGTTAGATGCAAAAAAGTGGCAAGGTTAATGTTTTGATTCGTGGGCATTAGTTTTTGATTTACCAATTACTCAAGTCTAAGGCGGACGAAAGCCCAGAAGAAATGTGCATTTCATAAACACATGTGATTCATCGGATGTTTAACTGCAGGCTCATAATCTTTGAAGAAACATGTCACAGTAAGAAAATTAAAGTGATTTTCACAATGAATATCATTACTATCATTTCTCTCATTCTATTAATTTAGCATATTTCAGAATTTGATTGACACAGCGGACCTGAAAGAAAGTAACCTTGTAATCTTGTGCACGCTTCGATAACTAATGTGTTAATGCATTAAAAATCTCTGAATTAATTAAATGTAATCGGTTGAACTTTCTGAATCTCTTCCTGACATTAATTTGTGTTGACGCACAGAAATGAAAAGATAACGTGAGAATGAAAAGATAATGTGAGAAGAACGGTGCATTAGAAACACAGCGAATGAAAAGTTGCAGTTGGTGATGGGACTGTCTGTGTAAACAGTCTCTTATTGCTCAGGGCCATTGGGAATATAGTCAGTTTTCCACCATCGACATTCCAGCGAATTACAGGGGTAAAAAAAAAGAGAAACTAGAATTGCCATGTGGTTGCTAATATGTTCTGGGTGATTTTAGCATGTTGTCACGTGGTTCTTAGAGTGTGTCTCAATCAGCTACTTAGTTCAGTCGTCAATGCACTGATCAGGGAGTCAGCCATTTTTTATGGATATCTCAATTGTGAAATCCTTCCAGCGGCCTGAAACATTCGCTCCCTAAAAAGTCCCACAATGCACTGTGAAAACCATGATGTTCCCTTAAAGGGATACTCCACTTTTTTTTTTTCTTTGAAAATAGGCTCATTTTACCACTCCTCCAGAGTTAAACAGTTGGGTTTCACCGTTTTCGAATGTATTTAGACGATTATCAGAAGAATATCAGTAACCAGACAGTTTCTGGTCTCATTGACATATTTTTTTCCTTCTATGGAAGTCAATGAGACCAGAAACTGTCTGGTTACTGATATTCTCTCTGATATGCACTAATGCACACACTCTCTGATCATACGAAATCACGTAATGATATGCCCATTTATACTTTATACACAGCAGGAATATGCTAGGCTTTTTAAAAATTGCACACTGGTGTCAAAAGCAAGAATTACCACTGAAGAAACATATATTGTATATTTGCTTTGTGTATTTTAATTAAATTATATTATTTCTAGCTTACTAACATTATAACATATTCAGTTAACGCAAGAGTCACGTGGTAAATTAAGGAGGTTTGATCCGAAATTACCTCAAAGCCAAATAAATATGTTTGTGGAAACCAAAGTGGAGCACTGTTCTCCAAAAACTTTAATTTTTTTTAACAGAAAATACTTTGATCTCTGGCTGAAATCTGCCTGTTTGCCACGTGAACCTGTAGTGACCGTTCTTCCCTCTTTAGAGTTCATGGACAGGACTCAGTAGAGCCCTCTGTCGGTGGTTTCTGGAACTAATCTTACAAAATCAGATCCTCACCTTCAAAACGCTTTTATCTGCATTTGAGACTTTAAAGTTTAGTTCATCTACAGGTTTAAAAACTATAGTCCATAAAATAAAGTTTGTTAAAGTTAAGTTAAAGCTAAAGTGTGTAAAGTAGAACACAACTAGGCCTACACAAGTTCAAACAACGTTTTTTTGTTGTTGTTGTGCGGCCTCACACAGCAACAGCGGCTCATTGGGGTGGAGCTATATTTTTGTCTGACCAATGACAGATAAACATGTTTGAAAACAATCATTGCGTAATTACCTCGCCTTTAAAACATATTCCTTTTTCATTATTAAAACCATTAAAGACTATATAAATCCTATATAATGACTAGCTATATAAATCCTCTCAACGGTCGTACACACTTGAGCCCTGACCGCATTCATGTCCAGTGCCACAGTCAAGACTCCTTCAGGAGCCTGGTCCTCTGTCCTTGAAATGAAACCCATGTACCCTTGCTGCATGACAAGTATGACACCTTATAAGCTATGCAGAGCCGTGGAGTCAGGGCCATGGCTTGGAAGTCACTGGTCGATTTATGCCAGCATTTGGTGGCTGACTGAGCGTGACGCCTCCTGGTTTTCAGAGAGGTTGGAGAGACACCAGACGGCTGCTGACAATATCGCCGGAGTTACCCAGCATGCCATGTTACCCATGAATCCCTGGAGCATGAAACCCTGGCTAGATAGGGAGAAGGATGGACTGCTTGATACTTGTTGACATATAGGGCTAAAGTGGGTCACTCAAACCAGAGACTATTTATATAGAGACATGCCACTTTTTCAATCCTTCATACAACTATATAGGAAAACCCGTAACGCTAAAGATGGCGGTTGTATGCACATGCCCCACCTCCCGCTGGAAAGCCAATCGTCTGCTTTTAACAGTCAAAATGGGAAGCACTTAAGCCAATCGTCTGGTTCCACCGACGCATGTGTACAGTTGAGGTTTGCGACAGCGTAAAATACGTTACTGTTTGAAAAGGTGGCAGATTTGATATAGTTGTGTAAATATCAGACATCCCAAGTCTCCCGCAGATTGATAGCGGATTTCTGATCCCGCAAATTGTTAAAATCTCCTGGACACTACACTCTTAGAAGAAATGGTTCTATTTAGAACCAGAAATGGTTCCATGCCCCGCTTCATATATGGAACTCCAAAATGGTTCTATATAGAACCATTTTTTTTGGTAAAAGGTTCTATTGGCCAAGTATGGAACCCCAGGGTTCTATATAGAACCCAGAGGAACCATTTTTTTAAGAGTGTATAGAACCTTTTAGGGGTTCCAAATACGTAGCGCTGATAGAACCTTTTAAGGTTCTAACCTTTTCTTCTAAGAGTGTATAACGAGCGAGCAAGAG